ATATCAAGAAAAAGTTCTTTCCTGGTTGTTTGGTTGGGTGAATTTCTTTAGCGGCATATCAACTTCTATGGATTATTTAATACCGAAATCTAAATATTTCGTCCGTACATTTATGCTTTCAACTACAGATATTTTGTGAATGATTTTATAATTTCAGATTAAAGGTCTGTTTTTTAGATATATATTTTGTAGACAATAATATCATAATTATACTATAAAAATACTATTGATTTTTGTTTGGAGGTTCAGTATTTGCCCATAGTTGTGACCCTAACTGGTACTACCACCCCAAGTTAAGGTGGACCTGGGAACAACAGCAATTAAAAGATGGTTCTACGTTCCTCAAAACACACACACAGACACACACACACACAAACACACACACACACACACATATATATATATATATATTTATATATATATACCCCCACACACACACATGTATATATATATATATATATATATATATATATATATATATATATCTGTCTGTGTCTCTGTACGCGTCTGTGTGTTAAAATAGCGGTTTCTAGGAAAAAATAAACGAAAATAAAAATTCAACTAAGGTTTAAATTTTACTGATGGCATCCCAAAGTTTCGACCATTCTGAGTTTAATTCCTGGGACGGCCAGTGTGTATTTGGACTTAGCTGAAACCTCTGGAAGATTACAGCGGTCGACAATTAGGGCGTTTTATTTTAATATCTTTTGTCTTTTTCCTATCTCTCCCACTCCCTGTTCTACCAAGCATTTATCTAATCTCTTTAGGTAGGTTATTCATTGATCTCCCCAATCCTCTCTAAGCTTCAATATAAGCTGTGAGCATTACATTTTCCAAACACTTATTCCTCATTATGTTGTCTAGAAATTTCAACTGTCTCTTCCTGATTCTAAGTGCCCATTCGTTTCCACTTTCTCTAAAACTTCGCTACATGATATACGCAGTATCCATCAGTAGAACCATCTTTCTACTGCCTCAAGTTACTTCCTCATCTGTAAGGAGATTGTCCATCATTTACTGTTATACAGGTCGAGCGATATTAAATAACAGTTAAATAATCCTGTTTAGCTTTTTGAAGGCGTATTTCGCTATTTCAAGGCCTCTTCAGATTTCAGTGTCGCGTTTCTGTTATTTGTTAAAACATTTCCTACTTGCTTAAATTCAATGTCTTCAATTCGTAGTTTGCATCACAGATTCTTACAATTTGCATTTAGTCCTTTCTTCTCGCTTTCCTTTACTACATTTTCTATAAGTTATTGTAGTTCACTTTCTGTGTCTGTGTTATGGGTCCTTACCTACAACTACAGAATGAACTCTTCCTAACACTATGTATACTACGCCTCTCATGAGAGAGGGTCGAATCAAGCCGAGTTTCTCGACTTGATGGTCGAACTCTCTGATTTTGAGCAGAAAGGAACCCGGACGAGGTTCCGCCGAAGGGCAGAATCTCGTTCGGGGTGAATGACCTACCCTGATCTCGTTTTTACGAGTTATATGGGCATATTTTTGGCTGAGCCTACGGGCTCAGGAAACCCACGATAAAAATGACCTTGTGTCGCATGCAACCCTCGTGGGGGTGGCTAGATACTGAATCAAGCCGATTTTTCGACTTGATGGTCGAACTCTCTGATTTTGAGCGAAAGGAACCCGGACGAGGTTCCGCCGAAGGGCAGAATCTCGTTCGGGGTGAATGACCTACCCTGATCTCGTTTTTTACGAGTTATACGGGCATATTTTTGGCTGAGCCTACGGGCTCGGGAAACCCACGATAAAAATGACCTTGTGTCGCATGCAACCCTCGTGGGGGGGTGGCTAGATACTGAATCAAGCCGAGTTTCTCGACTTGATGGTCGAACTCTCTGATTTTGAGCAGAAAGGAACCCGGACGAGGTTCCGCCGAAGGGCAGAATCTCGTTCGGGGTGAATGACCTACCCTATCTCGTTTTTACGAGTTATACGGGCATATTTTTGGCTGAGCCTACGGGCTCAGGAAACCCACGATAAAAATGACCTTGTGTCGCATGCAACCCTCGTGGGGGGTGGCTAGATACTGAATCAAGCCGAGTTTCTCGACTTGATGGTCGAACTCTCTGCTTTTGAGCAGAAAGGAACCCGGACGAGGTTCCGCCGAAGGGCAGAATCTCGTTCAGGGTGAATGACCTACCCTATCTCGTTTTTACGAGTTATACGGGCATATTTTTTTGGCTGAGCCTACGGGCTCAGGGAAACCCACGATAAAAATGACCTTGTGTCGCATGCAACCCTCGTGGGGGTGGCTAGATACTGAATCAAGCCGAGTTTTCGACTTGATGGTCGAACTCTCTGCTTTTGAGCAGAAAGGAACCCGGACGAGGTTCCGCCGAAGGGCAGAATCTCGTTCGGGGTGAATGACCTACCCTATCTCGTTTTTACGAGTTATACGGGCATATTTTTTGGCTGAGCCTACGGGCTCAGGAAACCCACGATAAAAATGACCTTGTGTCGCATGCAACCCTCGTGG